CTTCCACATGCAAGGCATTATTACGGGGCCTGTCGAGCTAGGCTGAGGAGGAACGACGAGCAATTACATATTAAATAATGACGACGATGTTGATGTGGGATGGTGGAGCCAGTCGAGTCTACAAACACGCGCGTCCATTTGCACTAAAAACTTAATCTAAATTGCATCATGCGCGAGCAAATTGTTCGGATCGCATCCCTGCAAATTAAAAACATTTTCCGCGCCCGACACCCACGCTCGTTTCATGCTCTTGCCGGAATGCATTAGTCAACATTGCCGCGTGCCACGCAGTGACTGGCAAAAAGCCCTCTTATTTAATTTGCCCGAATGCATTTGTATCATTATTTTGGAAGAGAAGGCGAAAAAAACTGCACAATTGTTGAAGAAAATGCGAGTTCAAATTTGCATTGGAGTTCACCCGTGTGTGCAAACGATTATGCGTTTTTTTTCGCGCAAGAGGACACTGTGTTCTCTCGGAGTGCATTGTCCGAATTTTTTGTTTAATAAACATCATTAGGGGCTCAATAAGCACCGCTTATATTCCTGTCAGTTTTACAAAATCCCTCCTCACACTTAGCGAGTTGCGGCGGTTCTCCGAAAACATTTTCAAAATCGGTGACTTAATTCGTGTTTTTTTAAAATAATTTCCAGCCTCTGTCCCGAGGACCAGTCTCTGTGGGATCTCGCCGTCGTCGCGGCAAATGCTGTCAACATGCTTGCCCGGGGTCACTGGCAAGGTTGCTGATGTGCGGAGCACGATGAAGGCCGAACAAAAGGCCACCGTACTGCGAGTTCCCGGGACACTTTGGGGGAAAAGATCTTTGATCCCCCTCTCCACCAAACAAAAAAGATATAGTGCTTGTATAACCATGGCTTTAATTGCAATCGTCAGTCACGGTCTATCTGCAGCTGGATGAAGATTCATTTTAATATTTGATCCTGCGCTGAATTTATACGTAATAATATGATTTGTCTATCTGTAATGCTGGGCTTGTGGGGAAGGGTGGGAGGGTTCGCCATCCTGTGGAAATGGAGGTGGGAGGGTGATTGGGCTGAGGTGGAGGGGAGGGGCCGATTGCCTGAGTGAGACGCTGGGCTGTTGGGGAGAGGGGTACTGACATCACGCAAGACTGAGGAGTGGAGGTTGATGACATCAAGGGACTTAGAAAGTAATGAAGATATGGGAAGAGCGATGACGTTACTCGACACTGGTGAGTTGGAGCAGAGGGTTGATGACGTCACGCTCGATTGGGGTGCGTTGGTGAGGAGATGGTGTGACGACACCAGACTGGGGTCTTGGTGAGGATAACGGTTGGTGAGGTCACGCGACACAGGTGAGGGTAGACGGCAAGGGAGTGATGACGTCAAGAGACGCCGGAGTGGTCAGGGGAGGGGGGGGGTTATGACGTCACTTGACATTGGTGAGCTGTAGGAGATGGAGTGATGGGGAAACTGTACATATTCGCTATCCTTTTAGCGCAGAAGTCCCACGGGTTCCTTCAAGTCAATGTAATAATTTGCGATCCTCACCCCCAGGGAAGTCTCACCTGCCCGAATCCAAACCCTTTTTTGCGGAAAGGGTCCTGCGGTTTTTCCCTCCGCATTTAGACTCAACATACGTTTAGAGTATTTGGCTGCTATGAATTTCCACTTGATAAGCCACTTCGTTGAGCTGTCATTTGTGGCCAGGTCTCTTCTGAAAAAAGACCTATATAGCTCAGTGGGCCTTACCTGGTAAGATAAAACATTGTTTAGTTTTAGTTTAGAGATGGTGATCGTGTGGTCAGTTTTGTGCTCGCGCCAAACCCATAGACTCCGATTGGCATGTTTGGCTACGTACGGTGCTGAAGACGTTCAACATACATAACAATGAATCCATAAGCAAGCCTCCATACAGAAATACCCCGATTTGAAGACCCCCCCCCCCAACCACCCCTTTTACGTCGTTTCGCAAATACGTCGTGACGTTACTAGCACCGCTACCTGATTTGCGTTGTCTCAGCCCACACTCACGTGGGTGGACCGCGTCGTCCGGCTTTCTCATATCCGTCGTCTCTCGGCCTTCGCCTCCACCCTGGACACAAACCACTTTGCGTCGCACGTCAAGAAATGCACTGTAGAGTACAAAATATAATTTACATGTCGTATTTTGGTGTACTGTATCTTTATTGTACCCTGTATAAGTTGAATTAAAGTTTACTGCAGTACGCTAGTGTTGAGTACAGTATTTTGAGTAACTTAATCTAGCGTTGTGGGTGTGCGTCTAGGGTGAAGCAGCGCACACTAACGCACAGCGTCACCGTACCCCCTCCGTTGCCTTTGTTTCGCTCTCGTGGAAACTTCGCTTTGATTCGCGTCGTTTCGATATTCGTTGTCGCAACTTTCAGGAACGCATCCCTGACGTAAACCGGGTTATTACTGTATTTTCTAAACGTCTAGATAATTTGGTCAATTGGTGGCGCATTGGTGAGCCTGCTGTGCTATTAACCCCGAAACGCAATATTGATTCCTGGCCACGGCTAACGTCAGTGGTGAGTAATATCAGGACATCATCCTCCCCTCCCCACACCACTGCCCCCACCTTCACCAGCCCGTATTTACCAGCGTGGTGAAGTATGGTCAAATAACTCTCCAGACGCCCGGCAGCGCGAGTAAGATGTTACCCAGCCGTGGATTGATAGAGGGCTGTACCGGCACATACATCGCACAAGTGATGGTTACCAATAACCACGCGTTGCACTGTGCACGCTCATGTGTCTACTGGACATCCTTGAGAAAGAGCTCCATAGCTCTACGGATTTCTCTGGGATAAATAAACATTCTGATGCCGTGTTATGGATGGGAAATGGCTGAAATTGCATTTATTTCATTTTATTGACCCCCCCCCCCCACTGCCGCCCCCCCCCCCCATATGTTCACAGCAACACGATTGTGAAACGTTTGACAAGCTGGGAGATTCCAATTTTCTTTTTTTTTACAGAACTGCCCGAGTAACGTGCCCGTTGATTTCGGGGTTTTGCCTGTTATCGTTACTCATAATTTTGCGTTTCATCCCGTGAGCGAGCGAGCGCTTCTAACGAGAGCCGTGGACGGTGGGCGCTTCACGGGGGAAGCGGGGCGCGACCCCTGGGTGACCTTGGCAGTGACGCATGCTCTCGTTCCTCCGCGTGTTGATTACACCTGCGGTGGGCGGGGGTGGTGGGCTGGTGGATCCCCGAGGGGGGTCCCTGGTTGGGGGGGGGGGGCCTTCCCGACGAGATGACGAGAAGGAGGATGGGAAAGCAGCAGCCAGAGCGCTACAGATCGGAGCGAGCGGCACGGATGTGTTACCGCATGGCATGTTCATGCCTGAAGATACCTCGCAATGCAGAATTCTGTAGAAATCTATTGCATTTATTTTGCACCGTAAGTAGCCAACCGTGATAATCAGAGGTGTGTGGGGGGGGGGGGGACAAACACAAACTAAAAAGTATGAGAGAAACACACCCAAGGCGCTGCCAGTGCTGCTCGTGGTGGTGTATTTATCTGCCTCTCTTAGAACACGGCTGCAAATAAAATCCACATGAGTTATATTCGACTGTAGATTTAAAGCTTTCGTGACTGCAAGGATCCATACTCTTTGGTTCTATTCGGTAAAGTCACGTGACTTTACCGAATAGAACCAAAGAGTATATTCGACTGGCAACGGCAATGAGGTATTTTTCACCGCTTAGCAAGCATGCCTGAGGATGCCTAGCAATGCAACATTCTATAGCAATCTAACATGCTGGTGTGTAATAGATGTATGTATATTGAACCTTTGCACCGTGCATAGCCAATCGTGCTCATTAGAGGTGCGGGGGAAATGACAACAAACCAAACACAAAAAGTAGTTCTAATGAATTCAGTTTTCAATCTAGACGATTTAATATCACATAGCTTCAGTGGTTTCACAATACCGGAAGCAGGGGCAATCCAGACGGCTGCAGAAGTGCATCTGAAAGCGCGCCATGCAGTGACCGTCCTTGTTTGATCGCCAGCCAAAAACCAATGAGAAGGTGACAAGAATTCGCGAGCAAGTCAGCTTTCAGCTCCAGAGGTCATCCGCTTTGATCTCCCGGTGCAGCAGTTAAACAATGCAGGAAGTTTCTTTAAATCCACAGCGCCCCCCCCCCGTCCTGCTACCCACCTCTGTCCCCTCTGTCCACCCAGCAGTCGAAATGGGAACACCGTAGTTAGTCGATCGGCAGGTCACGGTGTGGTGGGCTCAAGTGTGGGTGCTTGAACCTCTTCCAAGATGTCTGACCAGCATGACAGATGAGATCTAGAGAGGCTGTCTCTGGTGGGAGCCTCTTCCGCCCAGCATTGGCATAAGCGAGGGAATTGCAGAGCTGCACCTTTGATCTCCCATTTTTTTCAATACGCGTGTGTGTTTGTAGTTCTTATGCTGTCGGTGCTTTTATTATAATTACTATTCCATTTATGAGCGTCACGTCGGCAGCAGCAGGAACATCCCCGTTTGGGAACTTGATTCTCCGCGGTGAATGTAGCAGGCCTCTTAATTGGCTAGAGTGACATCAGTCCGTCACGACACACAGAAGAGCCGTGGATTCTGGCACACGCGCTGCTCTGCGACCTGTGCAGTCGCGTTGACCGAGCCGTGCGCCCAACCCCGCTGCACCACGAGCAATGGGCTTCGTGTTGTCTCCAAACCGGTGGATTCCTCGCGGTTCCTTTCGGTGGTCCTCTCCACAGCCAACAGAGTGTGCTTTACTCTTTGGTTCTATTGGGTAAAGTCACGTAGGTACTTTACCCAATAGAACCAAAGAGTATGGATCCTAGCAGTCACGAAAGCTTTAAATCTTAGAGGGTGCTTTGGTTGTCTCCCCCGTGCCGTGGCAAATTGCCGGAGTTGGTGGCGAGGACCCGTTATACGATCGCTATTTTCGAGCAAGGCCACTTGCCCTGCCGGCTGGCCTTGGGGTTGTAAACCGACCGTGTTTGCCTCTCCTGTGTTACAGATCACCAGAAGCTGGAAAGGGAGGCTCGGATTTGCCGCATGCTGAAGCATTCCAATATCGGTGAGTCCAGCCTTGCCCGTCTGTGTGTTTCTCTGCCCTTGTTTCTGTGTGTGGGGTGGGGGAAGGGAATGGTGGCAAAGTGCTTAGAGCACTGAACCCGTGTCCCGAGTTAATTTCCCGCTCGGCAGCAACAACGGTGACGAATATTCCAACCAGTCCGGGTCTCGCCGAGGTTGACTGGGCCTTGAACGAGTACCTGCTGAGGACTGTACTCATCAACACTGGGGAGACGACAAAGGCTGCCAGGCGTGGTGTTGGTCACACCACACTTTCTCGCGCCGTGACGGGCTTCAGAGGTGCTACTCGCTCATGGCACTTGTCCCAAGAGTCCGTTAAAAGTCTCTCTGTGCGTGTCCTGGGTCATCTGACTGATGTCAGCTAAGACATACGGAACATCGCTCCCGTGTCCTCCTGACAACGAGCCTTCGGCCCTTCATGCGGCTTCAAAGTGCACCGAGTCTGGTACAAGCGCTGGGTGGTCACATTGCCATCACTTAGTGATGCATGGCAGTTTTTTGTGTTATCTTGACACAAGCTACCTAGTACGGTGTGTAAACGTCAGCACTTGAGAGACAAAGGTGGCTAGGCGTGATTCTGGCCACCAACAGGACTTTATAGGTGCTCGCTGACCCAACAGTTTGGTTTAAGCTGCACGGGGGATCTTGTGTTTTTTTTCGTTTCTGCCACTATATGTGTGTGAATCTGCATGTATTCGTTTAATGGGATCTAAATGTATGCATGGATGCATGTTGAACTTATTTCGCACTGTACGTAGCCAACTGTGCTAATCGGAGGTGCGGGGGGGGGACAACAGTCTAAACACAAAAAGCAGTTCTACTAAAATGAGTTTTCAATTTAGCTTTAAAAGTGCATAGTTCCCGTGGCTTCCTAATATCGGTATGGAAGAGCGTTCCAGACGGCTGCAGAAAAACTCAGGAGGTAGAGGAGAAGCAACAACAACAAGCAAAGGTTTGGGCGGCTAAAGCATTGAGCTAGTAAACCCGCCAGCTACCCTGGTGCATGCGTCTGAAACTATTCACGTATTTGTTACATCGGCGATTACAGCAACTCTTGCGGCTGTACGGGTCGCGTGTCCTAATTACTCCCAGCATGTACGAACTTGCAATGATCGATTCCCTTGGCGCCTGATTCGATGCATTTGTCGCGAGCTTAAGAACAGATCGTTATCCAGTGAAATCTGATGTATCTTGTGATCTGCTGCTGTCAATGAACCTCCTCCACCACCGAGTCCACTCGCCCTTAAATTAACACTCAGCCTGGCACAGCCGCTGCGGTGATATATTTTCCACTTAGGAGTGAATTGTGGCTGCCGCGCTGGTGTTTTGTTTCATGATTAGTGTCTTGCGCGCACCCGTGCGTCGTACTCCGTGTGGCGGCGTCGTGCGTTTTATTTGTGAGCGGGAGCCGCTGTCATGATCCAACATCGTAATTACGTTTTTTTTGTGGCGGCGCTTCTCGCCTCGCTTGCTCGTCACGTGCCGTATCCGATCGGCGGGTTCTGGTGTTTCTAGAGCGCACCTTTCTCCCCTGGTCGCGTGTGCCGCCTGGCAAATGATTAACTCGGTAATGGGAGCGAGTTAACAGGACACAAGTCCCCGTGCGTGCACGGCTTGTCATAACTTGGCACTGTTCATGTTGTGCCCATTATTAAAACGGCTTCTTTTATCTGCTCGGCAAATAATTTGCATGTTGACTCTGAAACCATTTTCGTGCTCGTGCCGTGCTTGCTTTGCTATAAGCGGTCACAAGTATCTCATTGCCATAGTCGAATGCAACTTAAGGGGGACTAAGAGAGACAGAGAAATCCGCCACCACGAGCATCACTGGCTGGGTCCAATAGCCATGGGTGTGTTTCTCTCATATCGCAGCTTTAACAATTCTGGCAGTGATGTTTTTACTTTTATTTTGTGTCCCTTGCTGGTGTGTGCGTGCACGTGTGTGTGGTGTCTGCGTGTGTGTATGCGTAAAGATCCCTGTATAGCCTTAGCAGACTGTAGGGGCAAGTGCTGTTAGCGAGCACCTATGAAGACCGGAACGGTATGTGTGTGCGATTACCTGCGTTTTGTGATGGAGTAGTGGTGCAGTGGTTGGCACATTTCGTTCAGAATCCAGCCACCCGACTTTCATTCCCACTCGCGGCAGATTTTGATGACGAATATCTGAAACGGTCTTGGGCCCTCCCCGAGGTCGACTCGGCCTCAAATGAGTACCTGGTGCAGTGGTGGAAACATCGCCACTGGGGAGACAAAGGTGGTAAGGTGTGGAGCCGGCCACCCACCGCCTCGTGTGCCATGCCGGCCTTAATCTGTGCTCGCTTAACAGCACTTGCCCCAACAGTCTGTTTAGGCTATATGGGGGGGGGGGGGGTCATTGTCTTTGAATCTATTTGGGTTAACACCTAGGTCTGTTCCATGACCTCCTGCGGCTGAGCTTTAGACACTTTGTCACGTGGCCTCTGAGCACACGTAGCCTGGCACAAGCACTGCGGTGACATCCCCATCACCTCGCAACAAATGGCGGTCTATTGTTATTGTTTGTTGACAGCATGCGAGTGTGCATGTGTTGTGTGCGTGCGCCTGTGCATGTTTTATGCGGGCGCACATGCGCGGTATGCGTTAATTATTTTTTAGACGCCTCCTCAGAAAATCATTAAATTTCACTTGCAGTGGTGCAAGAGACGTTTATTTGCATCCATTAAAAAATATAACATGCGAACATGACATATCCATGTGACGTGTCCTGAATATCAAGGTTGGTCACTGCGCTTTATTATTCAATTGTTCAGGAGATGGCTAGGTATTCATCTCCATAATATTTCCATATCGGGCAGGAAATAATAAATGAAGTCATTTTTTAAACAACTGAGATCTAATCCATGAGACTGCAATAAAACAAATCTCAGAATATATATAAAAAAGTCTCGGCACAATAAGCTGGGGAAGACCACGCAATTAGGTAGGTAAGCAATTTGAACAAATGAAATCAACTGGGAGTATCCCAATGCAATGTCATTTAAGTAATATTATTTATAATTATTATTTCTGCACCTACAATTCGCACGGTTGGCTACGTACGGTGCAAAAAAAGCTCAACACACAGTACATACAATATCACGGATGGAGATAGAGGGCCCTCTTATAAAGTGACTCCAGAAGTAGTTCTTGAAACATCAACTTGCGGAGTCATTCTGACAACGGAGTGGTGTGCACTGCTAAGCTGTGAGAGTTCTCCATCTCCTGACATGACCCGCGGTGAGCACAGCTTTCATCTAATTGGCAATAAAGAGCCCAATAAAAAATAATAATGTAACATTTGCGTAATATGACGTGCTGGAGCTGATCGTTTGTGCACTTTTGCCATATCCAAAATCCGAAGCGCAAACATTCCCAGCCGTCTAATTTAATTAAATTAGGTTCTGCTGAAATGTTCTTATGCAATTACGTTAATTAAGGTCTCCTTTGCAAGATTGCGACGTGAATGTCAACGGGCGGGCCCGTCTGGTGCCCGAGTGAAGGCCGCCGGTTCGTGGAGAGCTCCGACAGGAGGACGAGAGGGGCCTCCGCCAATCCCGAGGACGCGCACGCAGCGAGCGTTCTGCTCAATTCGCCCGTCCCTTCGTCCGACCAATCATTTTTCAACCAAAACCTTTCCCGGGGTCAATGAGGTGCAGTGACCCCGGATAGAGTCCCCATTCTTCCACTGCATCCTCCTCATTCACGCCGGCACCGACGCCGGAGTTTCTCAACACCCCAGCCGTCGTTCACTTCACCCCCCCCCCCTCCGTGTTCCGCGATCCCCATCTCTCTGCCCGTACTCGCCGTCCGGATGCAAATTAAGGCGTCGTGTGTCACGCTCACCCCGGTGATTCGGTGAACGTGGGCAGCGTTGTCTTAGTGCAGCGCAGCATTTGCATTTGAACAGGGCCCCCACTTATTTACGCATCCCCCCCCCGACTATGGTGTGACTGCATATCCCATGAGACTGTCTCTTCGTGTTTGTCTCTGTCCATCTCCCTCTGCATCTTGAGTCTCTGCTTGCCTCTCTCCTCGTGTCCCTCCCCCCCTCTCTATCTGTCTCCCGAGTCTCTCCCTCTCCCTCCGCGCCTCTTTTTACCTCTTGTCAGTGGCCGTGTCTCTCTCGGGGTGGCACCTCGCCTCGCCCCCTCCCCTCGATGCCCAGCGTCTAGCGACGACTCTGCCGTCGAGTCATTTTGCTGACCAACATTTCCCCCGCGTAACAATGCGGAAATGTGTAACGTGTATCTTTACTTATTGTCCAAGCCTTCAAGGATGATGGCATCTCCCATTACGACGTAGTTCATAATTTGCAAGCCTGGTCGACTGCGAGCAATGTGACCGGATTAAAATCCACCCCACAATTTAATGGGTTTTTTTAACACAAAACAACTGAAACCTCAAATGTAACAACAGTGTCAACCTGTAAAATTATGGTTAGCCAAGGTCTCGCTCGCGATAGCGATTCTCAACCGGCTGTCACCTGCTTCAATAGCAGACATCAATCTCTCGGCTACTCAATCGATCAATCGATATGTAATAAACACTGTACAGTGTGTGGTTTTAGGCAACGCCAATGGCTGCAAATGAAGCTGGTTGTGTGGCTAGAAACGTGAATGTTTGTATACACGTATATTTGCATATGGTCACATCACCCGGAATGCACCCGAATCTCATAAGATCCTCTGCGGCGGCAGAGTAAGATTGAGCCTGGATAGTACTTTGATGGGTGGCCACCATTCGTAGCAGGTGTAAAACTATTGTAAACGAAACTATATATTTTTTTTATTTTACCAGGTAAGGCCCACTGAGCTTGTATAGCTCCTTTTTAAAAGTGACCTGGCCACAAATGATAGCTCAAAATAGTGGCGTATGCGGAAATGTTGAGCAGTCAACTCCTCTTAACGCAAGTTTCTACATGTGGAGGGGAAAAAACAGGAGGACCCGGAGAATAATCCACGCAGC